AAATTCAAATGAGGCTGTTGCAATTTACTTATTAGTTTGGCAAAATAATAGCCAGGCAAGTATGAAACACCTGGCATCACCTTTTTGTCGAGAGCAACAAATGAACAGACTCTGGCCCCGGTGATTAAATTACTGGTGTACAGCTTTTGCTCTCAGAGGGTTCCATGTGAACACTTTCATTTAATATGGACGGTGCTACCGTTTCAAATTGTACATGTTCTGACTGCTAGCACAGAAGTAATCCTTTCAGTTTAGCAGTGCACACACAGAGTGTGCGAGGCTATGAGAAATGTCTCCGTTTATCGCTTCTGGCCCATTAACTTTACATGCTGGCTGATCTAAATGGCTAAGCCGGTTTTCTTTCCTATTCATGCATGCATGCTGGGAAAACACCCAGTGATATGGCATGGGATAATCTACCAGAATTTCCTAGCACTTGAGCGACTTCCATTTATTTCAGTAGGAATTGCGCAGAGCTACAGGAGAACACCATATTTGGTAGTTCTTCTGCATTTTGTATTCTGAAAAAGCCTGAGCTTAAACGTTGCTGTAACACGTAAGGATTTGTTTCGTGTTTATGGTTCAAATCTTTTGGTGGTTGTTTTTAATGAGATTCACTTTGGCATTAAACCCCTTGGGCATTCCACACAGAAAGGTGGGGTATAAATTTAACAAATAAACAATTTAAAATTCCATCAAAACATCTAGCACTTCAAGACTGTGGAGTAGAAACATCATTTGGATGACTTTGGTATTAATGAGACTGCAATGGTCTTTGATTGCCACGGACCAGTCCCCTAAATGTTCCTTGAAATTCTAAGCTTGACATTGGGCATGTTAAGGCAGACACATGTTTAGATATATATCCCTGTCTGACATTAAATTTGAATGGATGAGTCAAGATAACAGCTACTCATGTCACCCATGACATGCTGTTCAGTCGTGGTATTAGAGAGAATTATGAATGTGCAGGTTCCCTGTTAAATGTACCAAGTATCTGGTATAAAACATCAAAGATCCCCCTGATAAGTCTCTCCTGAAAAATGTTGAGAATTGGGAGAACACGAAACAAGGACTCTGAGAATCAACAACATAGTTGGGTATAATCCTTTCCCCCTTCTTTTAAAGGCTTAACGGCCTGGTTTTGAATGTACTTGGAACTTACATCTAGAGTCATAGGACTGATGTGACCATTAGGTAAGGTTAGAGGAGTTGTTTTTCCAAAAAAAGCCAGTGTGTTTCCTTAAAACAAAAGAGGACATGGTGTGTTCATCAATACAGGTAAAGAAAAAGCACATTTGAGATCGGCAGTCTTTTGAAATCAGTATTTTTTTCCTCCCTCACCTCTTCCAAAGAGTGTGCAATCCTATTCACATCTACTCAGAAGTAAGCAACATTGAGTTCAGTGAGGTAAATGAGTATAGGATTGCAGCCCATGAGGTGTTTTTTTTTACTCTTCCTGAAGGCAATAAAATTATGTACTTCATTTTACTACAACCCATTTGAACTAGAACATCAGAAAAAACGAGATTTTAAGAAAAGTAATATTATGTTACAACATACAAAATAATTGGATTTTAATCCTTAAAGAAATGGCATACATTCACCGTTCTTGTAGAATCTGCCTTTTGGCAACAAAGAAATGATGTTAAGTGTGTGGGACAGTAAGTGTTCCATTGCTGTTTATATTTGGCTTGCTTATTGCTTTATTAATTCATATTTGTAAAAACAAAATCCAGAAACAAATGTCTAGTACCAGTTACATAATGAGACCCATCAAAGCTCAGTTTTACAACTATTCTTTCGAACAATATTAAACCTGAAATGCTGAAATATTGGGATGTTGATTGTAAAATGGTTCAACCATGATAACTTTATGGTTTGGATTTGTTGTTGCTGAAAATAAGACAAGGTATTAATATTTAAAACAAATGGGCTTCTGCTTTAATCTCAGAACTAATGTCACATTCTTGACATCAAATGCAGTTTGTTCTTGTTTTGAATTGGGTAGGGTCTGTGTCAAGCTTTTTCATTGGTTTTTTTAGTTATACCACAAGGAACCATATACAAAACTCACCTAAGAAAGAGAATACTTAATTCCTATAGCTACAACTGGTTTGAAAATGAATAATATAAATTGTAGTTCCACATAGGTTTGCTCAGAAGTAAGCCCAACTGAGTTCAGAGGTTATTGAATTCTTAGGTGAGTGTGGGATTGCACCCTATATGAACCAAAAAATCCATTTGTTTCTTTACCACTTCTTTTGTACGCACCCCCTATTTTCAAGTGGCATTGTTTCTCCTGTGTCTACTTTCAGAAAAAAACAGGAATATTTCAAAGGCCATTTTCAACTAAGTAGTTGCACTAGCAAAGACCACGAGCCCCACTAACACAACAAGACCTTCCCTTTCCTCCTTCTGCTGCATGCCCCTGTGCGCTCCCCAAATCTGACTAGAAGGACGTCGGTGAGAGGAGATGGGAGATTGTGCCATGTGGCATGCAAATGCTTGCAATTATGGAATGATCTTTTTAGCACTATGTTGAATTCTACCCCAAGTATTTAAATTTTGAATCGGCAGAATTGATGCCGTATTTTGGAATGGAGTAAAGTAGATGAGGGGACGTGGGTGGTGCTGTGAGTTAAACCACAGAGCCTAGGACTTGCCGATCAGAAGGACGGTTCGAATCCCTGCGACAGGGTGAGCTCCCGTTGCTCAGTCCCTGCTCCTGCCAACCTAGCAGTTCAAAAGCACGTCAAACTGCAAGTAGATAAATAGGTACTGCTCCGGCGGGAAGGTAAACGGCATTTCCGTGCGCTACTCTGGTTCGCCAGAAGTGGCTTAGTCATGCTGGCCACATGACCCGGAAGCTGTACGCTGGCTCCCTCGGCCAATAAAGCAAAATGAGCGCCGCAACCCCAGAATCATCTGCGGCTGGACCTAATGGTCAGGGGTCCCTTTACCTTTAAAGTAGATGAATATATTGAAAATTTGAGACCCTTTTGTGTCATTTATAGAAATGAAAAAAAAAAGTGTAGGGAAGGTTATAAGAATTAAGTTGTTATTGTTGTTTAGTCGTTTAGTCGTGTCCGACTCTTCGTGACCCCATGGACCAGAGCACGCCAGGCTAATCCAAAATGGGTTGGATGTTCACGTGGCCAAAAGTGGGTGGGCACTTTCTCTCTCTTTCTGCTGCCCCCCTCCCCCCGCCCCTTTGGCAACCTTATGAATTTAGGTCTCATGTGGCCCTTGGGCTGTAGGACTTGAAAGGACTTGAAATTATCTGCAGTAGAAGGGTTGAAAAAAAGGCCTCTGTGTTAGGGCCAAACTACAGACTGTGTGTATTTATGCACAAAAATGAGAAACTGATCTATTTGTTATTACTTATTATCTATTTAGTGCCTGTTGCCTGTTCACCCAGTGAGCTTTGTGGCTGAGTGGGGGATTTGCACCTGGGTCTCCCTGGTCCTAGTCCAACACTCTAACCTCTGCAACACACTGGATATTGTTGCTCTTGTCTTGTTCTTTGTTGTTGTTGTTAGTTTTAATGATTACTTTCATGTTGATTTGTAAACTGTCCTGAGTTTTCATCATAGCCTTGCAGGACAAAATTGGGTAAAATAAATGTGTAGGGCATGTCTGTGTGTTCATTTTACCGTCAACGTGATGCAATTTACTTTGTTGCTATGCTTCAACTGTTTTGTGAGCCGGCGTCTGGTTGTGGTATGCACAGAAAGGCAATACATACATTAAATTTTTTAAAATTGCAATCTGCTCTTTAATAAGGTGGTCTGGTCAGCAACTTCAGACGTGAGCAGGTGAAACTACACCTTCTTAAAATATGTATGGCAGCAGAGAATTCAGAGGTGTGCAGTTAGTTTCTGTGTTCAGAGAAGTGGAGGGGAGAAAATTATTATTTAGAAAATTTGTTTAAACTTGGAAGGAGAGGTAAAGTCTCTCATGCATCCACAATAAATTGAACCAATATGGGAAGAGGGGGTAGTAGTTGCATGCTCTGAGAAAGCTGGTAAAAAAAAAAAACCCCATAAAGGATGAAAAAGGGAGCTTATTGTTTCTAGAGTGGTGTTAGAATTATCCTATTCATGAATAATAGTTATGTGTTTTGCTCCAATGTGGTTTTATAATGAGTCGCTTAACTTGGAGCACAAATCTCTCTCCTTGTCTGCTTGGAGCTTGTTTGTTAGTTTTTATATACGGTATTTGTATACCACCTTTTATAATTGGGACAGTTTAAAACTTCTGCGCTCGCTACCTAGTCTAACTGCAATTCACTGGGTGATTGACTTCAGAACGAAGCAGTGGTTGGATAAGACACAGGTTGGAAACCACAAGCACAGATTTTTCTGTCACATAGGCCAAACCATATTGATCTAGCTGCCCACCGGCCCCCTCTGCCCCGCTAGATGGCCTTTCCCAACGAAATGCCCTCCAGATGTATTGGACCACAACTGGACCACAGAATTTCAAGACAGAAATTCACAGGCCCTTCTGCTTGCTCTGCTCACCAGCCACTGAGCACCTCTTCAAGAAGCTTTGAGATAGTGACTGGCTTTGCCCCAAGAAGCTCAGGACAGAATACAAGGCTCTCCTATTCTGACTCTAAGACACCTGCAAAATACTTCTGTTTTTGTGTAAAGGGGTTGTGTTGGTTGCGTAAATCAGAGCGACTTGGGTTTTAGGTTGTTTGGTTTGCCATGATTCTTAGCATTTTATGAATCACTACATACAGTGGTACCTCAGGTTACATACGCTTCAGGTTACAGACTCCGCTAACCCAGAAATAGTACCTCGGGTTAAGAACATTGCTTCAGGATGAGAACAGAAATCGTGTGGCAAAGGCACAGCGGCAGCGGGAGGCCCCATTAGCTAAAGTGGTGCTTCAGGTTAAGAACAGTTTCAGGTTAAGTACGGACCTCCGGAATGAATTAAGTATTTAACCTGAGGTACCACTGTATTAAAATAGCAAAAGTGCCTTAGAGACCCTGGAACCTGCAGTTGGTTAGAGTGTGGTGCTGATAACGGCAGGGTTGCAGGTTCAATCCCTGTATGGGACAGCTGCATTTCAGGGGGTTGGACTAGATGATCCTCAGGGTCTCTTCCAACTCTGCAACTCTGAGTTTCATACTTCAGCTTCTTTTTGAGGTCAATTCTCATCTTACAGATGGGGAGCTGAACCTCAGGGAGTATGATTTACCCCGGGTTACCTAGTCAGTTTGCAATCTGAGCAGGAATTTGAACCATGACCTTCTCCTCCTCATTGGGCCAACTTTTACAGGGGAGTGGGACCACCTGAGTGGGAGTCACCTGACATCATAATGATCAAGGGAGGTCACTATAACTTTAAATTGAGGTCTTCACTACTCATCACAAACCCAAGTCTAGACAGGAATGCAGTAAACATACCATTTTCTTGCTCTTTCCACCTTGCTTGCGGAAGACCAGTGAGTTGACATCTGTTACACTTTTTATAAAAAAAAAAACTTCTATAGCAAAATGCCCCTGAGATGTTTTTTTAAAAATTAAAATTCATTGGGCAGTCTATGTATATTGATCAGTATTTTTCAATATCACGTTGAAGCTACTCCTGCATTCTTGTTTCTTTAATTCCAAATAGAAATCCAGTTATTCCTAGAATCATAGAGTCACAGTTGAATAGAGAAGGGTCATAGCTCAGTGGCAAAGCATTTGTTTTAGATGCAGAAGTCTCAGGTTCAATTCCTGGCATGTCTGGATGGGGCTGGTAGAAATACTTCGCTGAAATCCCCGGAGAGCTGCAGCCAGTCAATGTAGACGGTATTGATCTCGATGGACCAACGCTCTGACTCTGTATAAGGCAGCTTCCTGTGTTCACAGCCATAGATTCTCTGGATGGTACTTAGCAAACATTTCATCTTCCCTTTCACACCTGGAAAAGAGGAATAATGCTCAAAAGTGTTGTTTCGGGTGGCAAGAAAAAATCAGTGCGCTACAGTTGGATGGGCTTGTTTAGATGTGTGGTGGTGATTTGAGTATCACGAAGGGAGTTGTTCGGACAGACAGAACTTAACCGGGTGCAAACTCATTACAGTGGTACCTCTGGATACGAACGGGATCCGTTCTGGAGCCCCGTTCGCATCCTGAAATAAACGCAAGATGTGACTGTGTGTGCACAGGTCGTGTTTCACTACTTCCGCTCATGCACATGACGTCATTTTGAGCGTCTGTGCATGCGCGAGTGGCGAAACCCGGAAGTAACACGCTCCATTACTTCCGGGTCACCGTGGAGCACAACCCGAAAATATTCATCCCGAAGCTACTTCAACCTGTGGTATGACTGTACCAGATTTGTAGCTGAGTTGAGCTCCTGGGGAACCTATATCATAGGCCTGTACGCTCACAGTGGTGTTTTTGTGAAGTCACTGAGATTGTGCAAACCCTAGCATATGCAAGCACCACTTCACATGCACACTGCCTGCCTGTGAGCCCGGCCATGGCCTGAGTTCAGCACTCCAAGATACTTATGTGCAGTGTGAGCCTGAGCAATACATTGGTGTGACCAGAATGACAGTTATATAGGGACAAGGGCCAATCTGGTGTTATTTTGATACTCACTCCTTTGACTGCGCGGCAGGTTTTACGCCTGATAGCTCAAGGACCAAGGAAACTCAAGTTCACACAGGGCGTGATTTTAACCCTGGAGTATAGGTGTGTGAGGAGAAGCACAACAAACAAATCAAAGACTCTGAGTGTGTGCATACCACCCTCACTGAACTTTCTCAGGAGTGAATATTAAGGCACATTTACTGAAGCAGAAGTCGGCATAAGACTGTATGGTGTCTCATTTATCTCAGACACTTTTTAGAATTCTAATAACATATTTTTCCACTTTGGGGGGGGAAGTGGGGGAGTTTCTGTCCCTCATTGGTTGCGCAGGGAGGGGGGGAGTTAAAGCAGGAATGACGAAGAATCAGACATAAGGTGGAAAGCAGCCCTTTTTCATTATGACATGGATCCAAAGGTGTACCGTATTTTTTGCTCCATAAGACGCACCTAGTTTTTGGAGGAGGAAAACAAGAAAAAAATATTCTGAATCCCAGAAGCCAGAACAGCAAGAGGGATCGCTGTGCAGTGATCCCTCTTGCTGTTCTGGCTTCGGCGAAAGCAACGCGAAGCCTCTTCAGGGCAGTGGGAGGAAGGCTTCACACAGCTATCCCAGAAGCCAGAACAGCAAGAGGGATTACTGCACAGCAATCCCTCTTGCTGTTCTGGCTTCTGGGATAGCTGTGCAGCCTGCATTTGCTCCATAAGGCTCACACACATTTCCCCTTACTTTTTAGGAGGGAAGAAGTGTGCCTTATAGAGCGAAAAATACGGTACTTCATGAGAAGAAATATGCTTGCGTTCACACAAAGTAACCCTCCGAATTCTGCTGATTTCCCCACTCTCCATTCTGCTAAAGCCCTGTAATGTCCCCACACTGTTCATGAAAGTCCCTTGATCCTCAGAAGTAGCTTTTGGAAGACCAAGGCAGATGCAGTGGGCAGGAGGAGCCAGTGAAGTACCATTGGGCGAGCTGAGTCCCATTTGTGCTTCTCTCGATCCAGCTCTTGTATTTTTAAAAAATTCTGGGTCCCTAAATTGAGAATGCTTATCTTATGCTCATCGTGGAGGATATTGTATGGTCATGCAATCTGCCAAGCAACTGTAGATTGGCACCTGTCATGTTCATGAAAATAATATTCCATGTATTTTAATTACAAGTATCTTAGTTATGTGCGTTCCTTGCAGGACTTCAGCTCATTAAAGAAAGCCCGTGTGGTGTTCTGTGCTAAAAATGACCTTTGTGCATGAGTTACACACACACACACACACACACACACACACACACAGTGTGTAAGCATGCAGCCCTGTTTAAACCAGATGGCTTGCTTTCTGCCTGTATCTTTTTGTGGTACAGGGTGCCTTGTGACAGCAGTCCCCCTCTCTATGGTAAGCTGGTCTCTTTCGGCTGGTATTTGCGCCTCATCGGTCTTCCACCCACGCCGAGTTGACATTTTACACCTGCTTCTTCATGACAGAAAACTGCTCTTCCTCCCTTTGCCCAGCATCTCCTATTGCAAAACTTGGTCCAAAGCCCAGTTTAAAAGGAGATCAGCCAGTTCGACGGGGTATTGCTAAAACTCCACATTGTCCTGACTGGAAATGCTTAAATTATTTGCTTGTTTGTAAAGTGATTTCTAATATGGTTGTCCCTCACTAGACTTTGGTAGATCTTGTGCTCTTTTCATAAAGAATACGTCTTTGCATAAGAATAAATAGCGTCCCAGTTCAGACATCACACTAAACCATGGTTTAGCATTGAAGACTCCATAAAGCCTCAGGGTTGCTTGCTGCCTTCCTCTTCTCCTCTGTGGACAATGAGGACATCAAAAGACTGGTTTTGCTTTAGAACTGGAGTTTACCCCCAGGGGTAAACTATCAGGGCCAGGGTGGGCAGGGACTTTTCTCTATCAGCCTCCCTCTCTGCCTCTTCCTTTGCGCTTTCTGATTCTCCTTGCTACCAGTGGCGGAGGACGCGGGATGTGTTCCGCCCCGGGTGTCATCACTGAGGGGGGTGACAAAACGACAAAAATAATGAGTTTTTTGTTGTTTTTTAATTGGGCTTACGAAACTTTTTAGTTCAGTCAACAAATGTAACGCAGCTGGCACTGGACGCCATACCGTGGGGGCCGGCTCTTACCGCAGGGCCTGCAGCGTGCCCAAGCCACGTGTCTTTCCTGGGAGTGACATGGGCACCTGCAGGTTTTGCACTGCCTGAAACAGCAGCGTGGGACTTGTGTCTGTCCTCCACCTCTCCCTCAGCCACCCTACAGTTGAGGGAGAGGTGGCGGAGAGGCTCCATGCAGCGCCCCCCCACCCCCATTTGCGGCTCGCCCCGCCCCTGGCTGCAGACTAGCTACGCCGCTGCTTGCCACCCATTTCGCCCCTCCTTGCTAACCGCATAAAATCAGGATGAGAGCTGCAGTTTGCCCACTGCTGCTTTAGAACTAACTGAAGTTTACTGCAATGGCTGAACTTTGGCTAGTTAAAGCAACCCAGGTTATCACACCATGGTTTGATCTAACGGGGTCTATCTAACCTGTGTTACACAGACTACAGACAAACCGCTAGCAGAACCTATCCCTAACTAAACCTCACAACTAACCTTTTTGTTAGTGAATTTTACTCATAGAGGAAAAGTTACTGAAGTTCAATGGCCCATACAGGACGGGGAAATTACTTTCGCCACCAGTCGTTTGGAACTTTAAAGAATATTTATGAACCTCCAAGTCATGACAAAAAATAGCATGGTGGTATACAGAAAAATCATTAAAACGTAATAACATTCTGAAAATCATAAAATGTAGAACAAATGAACACTGGATAAAATCTATTTTCCATAAAAGCTCAGTGAAGCAAAAAGTGTTTTAATTCAGTATTCGAATTCTAGGCGCCTGATTTCAATAGGAACAACATTCCTCTTAATTTTTCCACTGCCTCATTTAGTAATGTATTATGTGTATATCTCACCTTCACTCCAGGGAGCTCTAGGTGATGGACATGGTTTTCCCTCGCCACATTTTATCCACACAACAACCCTGTGAAGTAGATTGGCTGAGAAACAGTGATTGGCCAAGGCTGCCCAGCAAGGCTCATGGCTGAGTGGAGATTAGAACCCTGGTTTCCCAGGTCTCAGTCCAGCACTCTAACCACTACACCACACTGGTGTGCAGGGGTTATTACTCTTGTTGTTACAGTTCAGGTATTTCCCACTCAGGCTTGAACTGTGGCTAAAATATAACATCTGCAATAGTTCTTGTTTATTGGGACCTTGCTATTTTGTTCTCCAGGCTCCAGGGGTAATGATACAAGCCTTGTCCCTTCGAGGCCTGATTTCAAATGTGATGCTAGGCATGTAAAAGGAACAGCTGGTGTCACATTTAAATCGGGTGCCAGTTCTTATACATGCACCATTAGCAAACCAGCATGGACGGCACCTGGTGTGCTAACACTGCATTCACAGGAACCAGCCACCCAGTGTATTCCATCTTGAGATCCTTGGAGAAAGGGCGGGATAAAAATAATAAAAATGTAAACATGATGTCAGCTGCCTGTAACCCCGCACGGGTAGGTTTCTCTGTCATGCCTAGCATCACTCTTAAATCAGTCCTGACTTCAGTGGGATTAAATGTTTTTAGTGGGCAGTAGATTTCAAGAACGCAGTGTGTCTACTCTTGCGTTCTTTGCTGCAGTTCTTAATGCATGTTCCTCGTCCCACAATGTTCTAATCCTATTCTTCCTGTATATTCCATTCCTCCATATTTCATCCTCTCAAGATTGTGAGAGCCTTCTGTATTTTTCTTTATATTTTTTTAAAAAACATAATATACTATGCAAGGAAACCGAGGGATGCTGTATTGACTTACAGTTTATCGTTTTGAAAGGTTCTGTCCGCCATCTTGATTCAAAATGGCATCCAGTTGTATCCAGACTTGGCTGAAAACCTCCCTGACCTCAGGAACCATCGGGCGAATTTAGGTTACAATATCTTAAGAGTTGTTGAAATCATAGCAAACAGGCAAATGAACCATTTTAACACCAGAAACTTTATTTGTTTGTTTCAAAAAAAAATTTAATATGCCCATCATCTTATAAGCAATCCCAGGATGGGTTATAATAAAATCGAATTAAATCCAAAGATACCAGCAACA